CCCCAGAGCCCCTCCCCAGGTCAGCTGCCACTTGGCCCCCTGGCAGCTGAGGCCGTGTTCTGCTTCCCTCTGCAGGTTTGTGAACGCAAATACAGACGCCGGGGCCAGCACCACGTACATGGACCAGGCCCCCTCCCCGTCTGTGTGTCCCCAGGCTCACTACAATATGTACCCACAGAAGTAAGTTGTGTTCTTCTGGGGTCTATGGGGAGGAACTGGGCCCTGGCCTCAGGCTGGAGGCCTGGAGGGCTGGTGGGACCAAGGAATCCGGAGCTCCTCTAGGTCTGCAACCACCAGGCTAGGCCAGGGCTCTGGCCTATAGGAGGGAAAGATTCCACCAGAAAATATTGGTTCTTTAGAGTGAAATGGGGCAAATGGCATCTGTTCCCCTTTCTAAAAATGGAGAAATTTTTTGCTGTATATAGGAACCGGGTGGGGGGTTGGGGATATAGCTCAGTTGGTAGAGTGCTTGCCTCGCATGCACAAGGTCCTAGGTTCAATCCCCAGCACTGTAAAAAAAAAAAAAAAAAAATTAAAAGAACTGGGTAGGTTTTTGTTGGGTGTGGGCAGCCAGTGATGGGGCTGCTGGGGTGGGTATTGGGGTTGGGGTCTGTCTGCCCTCAAAGGCTGCTCCTTGCCAGCGTTCAGATAAGTAGTTCTTTTCCTGTGAGGCCCTAGGCTGAGGAGGTAGGTGGTCTTAGGCCACTTGCCTGGTAGGCTCTGGGGCTCAAGGTGGCCTCTGAACTTCATCTCTTGTCTTCCCCTCCCAAGTCCTGATGCCGTCCTTGACACCGATGGGGACTTCGACCTGGAAGACACAATGGATGTGGCCCGGCGTGTGGAAGAACTCCTAGGCCGGCCCATGGACAGTCAGTGGATCCCTCACGCACAGTCGTGACCCAGTCTCGCCAACTTCAGCTTCTTCATCCTCGCCCGAGGATTTACTCTTGTGGATGTTTTAATTCCATGAACCGCTTCTCCTTGGATACAATACTCATAATGTGAAGTGTTAATACTAGTCGTGACTTTAGTGTTTCTGTGCATGGTGGCACCAGTGAAGGGAGTGAGTGTGTGTGTGTATGTATGTGTGTATGTGTGTGTGTTTGCACGTTGTAATGTTTCTGTCCCTTGCTGTCCAGAGTCTAGCTGCAGCATTGAGGCCACAATGAGGCTGTGCTTGTTTTTACCTTGTGCAAAAAGGCAGTTAGTTCTGTGGACCTTGGAACTTGGCCGTGTGTTTTAAGGGTGGCTGAACTTGGACATGCTGAGGTTCAAGTAAGAGAAGGACAAAGGGAGGAAAAGGTACCTCCTCTCTAGGGAGCCTTTGTCACTCTGCCAGGCAATTGATACCATCACCATCTCTGCTTGTCTTTTAAAATGTAGAGAACTGCCTTTTGACGGAGAAAGCCAGTCCTCCCTCCTCCCCTTGCCCCACCCCTGTGTTCGCGGGTAGGGATGGGAAAAGGGGTAGCATGCAAGATGGGGCAAGGGAAGTCACAGGTTTGCTGATGGGTAGTGGCTTTTTACACAGCACTGAGCCCATCTTAACAATCTCTTTGTCCTTCTCTTCCCTCCTCCCTTCCTCCCCTTTCCGTCTCTCTGTCTCTGTCTCTGTCTGGAATTGCCAGTCGGTTCTTCTGTGTGTACACACACAGACACGTTTGGCAAAACAGAGGAAAAGAAAGAARGTCACATAACTGAGAGCTTACAGGGTGATGTCCTTTGTGTTCTGGCCAGAGCGCACCGCATGCCCAGCCTGGCACCCAGAGTGTTGCCTCGTTGCCCGGGCAGCTGCTCCTCTGTGTGCTGTCTGCCCCTCCTCTGCATGAGTGGAGGCCCAGCCCAGGCTTTCTAAAGGCTTGGTTTGGATGACTTTTTGCAAATGTCTAATGATGTTTTTGTTTCTGGATTGGGTCTTTTTTGTTTTCCCTTTCCCACCCTAATTTGACAGTAAAATTCTTTGTCCCTGCACCAGGTACTGGGCCACTCCTACCCCGTTCACCTCTTCCCTTCACTGTCACACACCACGTCTTGTGGAGGAGGTGGCAGGAGTGTGGCCTGAGCCTGGGGCCAGCTTGTGCAGCAGGTGGCCACTGGCTGCAGGGTGCTGGTGTCAGAAGTTGGCAATTGGGGAAATGCACTCAGCAGGTTGGCTGGGAAGTTTGGTAAACTATAGAAATAAAACAAAACAAACCGTTTCCTCTGTAGTACACCAGAAGGGAGGGGCTGCGGCAGGCAGGTGGGAAGAGGGTAGAGCTTACGGGTAAGGCCTTCAAGGCCCCCTTGGCCCCCTCTCCAAAAGAAGGGCAGGACCACACCCAGGAGAGGATGGCCCTAAAACCTTATTTTTATACATGTGAGTAAATAAACAGATATTTTTTTTACAAAAATAACTTCTGAATTTATCAGTGTTTTGCTGTTAAAGGAAAATACTCCTCTGTAGTAAATTATTTATTGGAAGATGACTTTTTAAAAGCTGCTGTTTGCCTTGGCTTGGTTTCATACACTGATTTATTTTTCTATGCCAGGCAGTAGACTGCCTCTGGAGCAGGCTGACCCTCCGTGGATACCCGATAATGGCTGATGGAGGAGTCCTGAAGCCCTCCCTCCCCCTCAAGATCCGATTCAGATCACAGTGGGTGTGTTGGGRACGGGTGAAAACCAAAGCCAAAGCCGAAGGTTCCAGGACCCAGGCTTWAAGAGCCCTTCCCTGCTGTCACTCAGATGCTTCCCAGCACCTGCCTCTGAGTGGCAATCTCTGTGCCAGCAACCCAGGCAGGGACAGGGACAGGGACAGGGATGTGGGGCTTGACACACTTTCAGATTGGTGGTAGACACAGCCCCATGGCCCATGGAGGGAAGAGCAGCCTGGCAGTCACAGGCAGCTCCGAACTCATTCTGTAGTTGGGCTGTGGGGTTGGGAGGAAGGGTGCTGAAGGGTGGCTTCCATACAGTCGCTGAGCTGTCCTCAATTTTACTGAGGCTGTGCCTAGAGATGGGAGAGGCTCTTCACTGAAAGGTGTGCTCACTGTCTGCATTCCGTTTTCTCTCTTTGCCCTGTTCCTGCAACCACAAGAGGCCATGGCAAGTCTTGACCCCACCTCTCTCCCACTCCCAACACACACACCCCCAGCCCTCAGACATCTCAGCACACGCGCAGGGTTTTGTAGGGGGTGGAGGGAGACTCAAAGCGGATATCACTTAAAATGAAAGTATACTTTTTATAATTTTTCTTTTTTAAAACTTTGTGAAATTATTTCAGATACATATTTTAGTGTCAAGGCAGAATAGTATATAGCCACCAAAAAAAAGTATTGTGTATTTTATGTCACAATAAAGGCTTCCTCTCAAAGGACAATATTGAGCCCTGTTTTTATTGCTTTCCTTCATGTGGCAAGGGAGGGTGACTTCAATAGGAAAAAGTTCTAAGTCATCAATATGACTGGAAAAGGGAACTAGTTGGGAGTCAGTATTGGAGGGTGTCTCAGCTTTGGTGGCAGATAGGGGAGTTCTCTTTCTCTACCTGCCTCTCTCTCTCTGTTTCTCTCTCTGTTTCTCTCTCTCTCTCTCTCTCTCTCTCTCTCTTTGGTGCTGGGGATCAAACTTAGGGGCACTTTACTCGAGCACTCAGCCCTTTTTTATTTTTTTGAGACAGGGTCTCACTAAATTGCTAAGGCTGGAACTTGTGATCCTCCTGCCTCAACCTCCCAGGTTGCTGGGATTACAGGTGTGCTTCCCCACACCCCCTGGCAGATGGGGTGTCTCTTACCTTCCTGTTCATGTAGCCTTCACCTCTGAGCCTCTGCACACTCTTCTGGTTAGAAAACCCATTCTCCAAATTCCGCACATTAGGACGCCTCCCCTGTGTGTGTRTGGAAGGAGAGTTCCTTCCTGAGAGGCTTGTGCTGGGGGAATCTGTCATGATCAGGCGTTGGTTTTTGCCACACCAAAGGTATCCCAGGATCATCATGAAATACAAAAGAACGTGGAGGAAGGCCCTGAATAGCCTAAGCTGACTCTGAAAGGACAAAGAGGAGTTAAGGAAGGTGAAGGCATTCAGCCAGAGGAACTAGTGCAAGTAAAGGCCTAGAGGCGAGGGGAGCGTGATCTGGCTGCAGTAAAGGGTATTCAGTGTGAAGTTCTGGAACTTCAGTGCCTGTCAGCATCTCCTGTGGGGCTTTAAAGTGCAGGCTGCTGGCCCGCACCCACCGCTGAGTTTGTGGTCAGCAGGTCTGGTGTAGAGCCCCAGAGTTCATATGTCTAACAAGTTGCCAGGGGGTGCTGGTCCAGAGGGAACACTTTAGGAAACATAGCAGGCAGGGAGGCTGGGAAGCAGGCAGGGAAGAGGCCACAGGGGCCTCATGTGCCAAGCTGAGTTTAAACTTCACCTGGAAAAAAAAAAAAGTTAATGTAATATACCATATCAATCAGATAAAAAACAAAAACCAGCCCGGCACGGTGGTGCAAGTGTGGTTTCAAATGAACCATGGACCACAGCATGTTAACATTCTATGGATCCTCTAGTCCAAGGACTCTCTCTCTCTCTCTTTTTTTTTTTTTTTTTTAAACCCAGATGTGGTGGCACACACCAGTACTTCCAGAGGCTTGGGAAGCTAGGGCAGGAGGATCAAGTTTGAGGTCAGCCTCAGCTTTTAGTAAAGTCCTAAGAAACTTAGCCAGACCCTGTCTCAAAAAGGGCTGGGGATGTCAATGGGTTCAATATCCAATACTAAAAACAAAAACAAAAAAACATGATCATTTCAATAGATGCAAAAACCCCACAGGTACCATCATACTTATTTTTCTTTTCTTTTTGGAACCAGGGGCACTTACCCACTGTTTCAGTCAGCTTTTTCACTGCTATGACTCAAAGACCCAACCAGAACAACTGTAGAGAAGGAAAAGTTTATTTGGGGGCTCATGATTTCAGAGGTCTCCATCCATGGACAGCCAGCTCGATTCCTTGGGGCTCAAGATGAGATAGAATGTCATAGTGGAAGAGTGTGGCAGAGGGAAGCAGCTCACATGGTGATCAGAAAGCAGAGAGAGGTCTCCACTTGCCAGATACAAATATAAACCCCAAAGCCATACCCGAAATGTCCATGTCCTCCAGCCACACCCTACCACTTCAGTTACCACTCAGTTAATCCCTATCAAGGGATTAATCCACTGAAAGGTTAAGGGTATAACCTAATCATTCTCCTCCAAACCTTCTTACATGTCTCGCATGTGAGTTTTGGGAGACAACACACCTAAACCATAACCACTGACCCTTATCCCTAACCCTTTTTATATTTAGAGCCAGGGTCTSACTAAATTGTTGAGTCTGGCATTGAACTTGGGATCCTCCTGCCTCAGCCTTTCAAGCCACTGGCTGGAATTACTGGTGTGTGCCACCACACCTGGCATAACATCATAATGATGAAAAACTGGATGCTTTCTCCTAGGATCAGGAATAAGACGAGGAAAAAGAACACAAGTGGTGAGAGTGATATTCCTGATCTAGGGGAAAAGCATCAACTTCATCAAAATTAAAAATGCTTGTGCTTCAAAGGACACTAGCAAGAAAATGAAAAACACCCCACAGAATGGGAGCCAATATCTGCAAATCATATATGTGATAAAACATTTRTATGTAAATATGTAAAAAGTCTAACAACTTCATAATAAGACAACCCAATTTATTTTTATCATAAATATGAACTCATTAATCAAATTATCGAATTAATAGGTTTCACTGTGGCATTTCCATTTATGCATATATTGTGCTTTAATTACACCTATCCTTCTAATTATAACCTGYCTTGCCACCTTCTCACTTCCTGCTCCCTAAATAGCTTAAAAGTTTAAGCTATTTAAAAGTGAGTAAATTATATGAACAAACATTTCTCTACTAAAGATATACAAATGTGTGAACCACCTGGCACCCATGTAATCCCAGTGATTTGGGAGGCTGAGACAGGAGAATCACAGGTTCAAAGCCAGCCTCATTAATGGCAAGGCACTAAGCAACTCAGTAAGACCCTGTCTTTAAATAAAATATAAAATAGGGATGGGGATGAGGCTTAGTGGTCGAGTACCCCCAAGTTCACTCCCCGTACCAAGAAAAAAAAAAAAAGATACACAAATGGCCACAAACACATGAAAAGATAAGCAACATCAGTATCAGTAAAATGCAAATAAAAACTGCAGAGACACCAGTTCACACCCATTAGGATGGCTATAATCCAAAAGTTAGATAATAGCAAGTGTTGRCAAGAATGTAGAGAAATCAGAACCCTCATATAGAGCTGGCAGGGATGTAAAATGGTACAGTCTCTTTGGAAACCAGTTTGGCAGTTACTTAAACAGTTAAACAAAGTTACTACATGACCCAACCATTCTGCTCATAGGTATCTACAGAAGAAAAACAAAAACATTTATCCACAGAAAAACTTGTCCACAGACGTGCATAGCAGCATTATATATCACGGAAGGAATGGAAACAATCCAAATGTCCATCCACTGATGAATGGATAAACAAAATAAATATCCATAACTGGAATGTTCGCAATGAAAGGGAATGAAGTACTGATACGCAGTACTACCCAGAAGAACCTTAAAAATATCCTGTTAAGTGAAAGAAGTCAAATGCATAAGATCACATAGGATTACGATTCCACTTATATAAAATGCCCAGAATTGACAAATCCATGGAGGCAGAAAGTAGATTTTTGGTTGGTTAGAGGATAGGAAGGTTGGGAAAAATGATAGTTAAAAGATACAGGGTTTTGCCTGGTGTGGTGGCACATACCTGTAATCCTAGAGGTTCAGGAGACTGAGACAGGAGGATCACGAGTTCAAAGACAGCCTTGGCAACAGCGAGGTGCTAAGCAACTCAGTGAGACCCTGTCTCTAAATAAAGTACAAAATATGGCTGGGGATGTGGCTCAGTAGAGTGTCCCTGAGTTTGATTCTGCTGGTTATCAGTTCTGCTCCCTCACATGGTGAAGTACAACATTAGAGAAGTATGCTGAGGCAAGCATATAAAGCAGGGTTTATTTAAAAGGAGGTAACATGGACTTCTCCCTGGTGGGAGAAGGGGGCCATAGTTGGTATTCTGGTATCCCAAGAAGTGAAGGTGTTCTGCTTTTTTATATGTCCTAGGCTTCCTTTGTTCTCCTGCTCTGCTCTCTACCCCTTATCTCTCTCCTTCCTGCTTATGTAACTAGGCCCAGGAGGTGCTGAGTGGGATGGCCAAAAGGTGGGAAACAGGTGGGCTGGAGTGGCGGAGGAGGAGTGATCCAGGAAGGAAGGGGGCAGGAAGGGGGTGTGATTAACAACTCCTTCTAGGGAGGGACAATCCCTGGGACAGGTTACCTTAGCAACAGATTGGAGCAGGGGCCAGTTAGCTTGATAAGGGCTAAGAAAGGGCTCTGAAAGAATTAACATTCAATTCCTCCATTCTCTGGGTCTGACCCTTGCCTATCTGCCTAATTCTGGCTTCAATTTCAATACCCCTCTCCCCCCAAAAGGTAAAGGGTTTTAAAATTGTTTTAGATGTTGATGGACCTTTATTTTACATATTTATATGCAGTGCTGAGAATAGAACCCAGTGCCTCTCCTGTGCTAGCCAAGTGCTCTACCACGGAGCCACAACTCCAGCCCCAAGGGCTTGTTTTTGAGATGATGAAAATATTATAAAGTTGACTGGCCCAGCATGGTGGCATATGCCTGTAATCCCAGCGATTTAAGACACTGAGACAGGAAGATCACAAGCCTGGATTGCACAGCAAGACCCGGGGTGTGACTCAGTGGTAGAGGGTCTCTGGGTTCGAGCCCCAGTGATACTGCTGGTTATCGGTGACTGTGTTCGGCTCCCTCAAATGTTGAAGTCTGAACCCTAGAGAAGCACCCCGAGGCAAGCATAGAAAGCAGGGTTTATTTAGGAAGGGGTAACATAGACTTCTCCTGGGAGAGAGAAGGGGGCCATCGCTGGTGTCCTGGTATCCCAAGAAGCCAGGTGTTCTGACCTTTTTATATGTCCCAGGTTTCCTTTGTTCTCCTGCCCTCTTCCCCTTATCTTCCTCCTTCCCGAGTAATGACTAGGCCCAGGAATGCTTGGTGGGGTGGCTGAGAGGTAGGAAACAGGTGGGCTGAAGAGGGAAGGACAGGATGGTGCAGCCCCAGGACAAATTAATTATCAACTTTATATCTCCCTGTAGGGAAGGGCAATTCCTGGGACAGGTTACCTTAGCAACAGGTGGGAGCAGTGAGAAGTTCTTGATAAGGGTGGAGGAAGGGCTCTGAAGGAATTAACACTTCAGTCCCTCAGGGGACAGTCTCCAACTCCCCCACCCACCCACTCACTCACTCAAAATTGGCCTCCTTGATCTGACCTGACTCGATTTACCTATCTATACTTGACTACCTGTCTAATTCTGGCTTCACCAGTCGCACGCACACCCAAAAAATGTTGTGATAGCTGCATGTTATCTGTGGATATACTGGAATTGAACTGTACACCAAATGGGTGATTCATACTCTCTAGATTATATCTAATAAAACTGCTGTTTAAAAAAAAAAAAAAAACGAAAGCAAAAGCAAGGGGAAAAAATGAGCAAAAGTGAGGTGGGGCTGCCAGAGGGTGAGAGCAGATCTGTTTAAAGAGACTCAGCCAGCTGGGTGGAGGCACACGCCCTGCAAACCCAGGAACTCCAGAGCCTGAGGCAGGAGGATCACAAGTTCAAAGTCAATCTCAGCAATTAAAGAGGCCATAAACAACTTAGCGTGGCCCTGTCTCAAAATTTAAAAAATAAAATAAAAAGTGCTGGGGATGTGACTCCGTGGTTAAGCACCCCCAGATTCAATCCCTGGTACCAAAAAATAAAAAATAAAGAGACTCAGCAGGGAAGAAAACTGGGATTCTCAGCAACCTGGAGGTGAAGGGTTGGAAGCAGGGTATTTTGAGGGTCCAAGACAGAAATACAAGTGGAGGGAGGGTTTAACATGGACAGAAGGGCATTCTGCTTCTCCTACCTGAACTCGGGAGTGTAGGAGCTCCACTTTTGTGAATGCCTTGCTCCAAGTTGAAAAATTACCTCCTATCATAATGATATAGGAAGTTTGTTTTTCCTTGAGATAAAGCCAATAAGCCAACACAACTCCAATTTCCAGGTAAAGTCTGGATGAACCAATGTAACCAATAGTACTGTCAAGTTGTCTTATTTAAGGACTAGTTGTTTCTCTCAGAATGTGTGTAATCAATTGTACCCACTTGTCAATAGAAAAGGATGAGAATTCCTTCAGTCTTGGCAATTTCTTAACAGATTGCCTATGACACACATCACATTCTGGCTTAATGCTTATTCAATAATAAAAGTGTTTTCTGTCTTGACTATTTTTTTTGGAGAGGATTTCTGCATTGGGAGAAGATTTGGGTTTTTCACAGTTCTCAAGTTTGAACCTGCTCCCGGATGGAGCGTGCCTCACTCACAGCTCAAGCTGTTTAATAGCRTTCTTTTCCACACTCAGCTTTCTCTTCCTTTGCCCCAACAAATTTGAGGATCATGCTACTCTGGCCCCAACTCCCTGGTCAGCCAGCCTRAGCCAGCTCCCAACCGGCTCTTAGGTGACCTGTCCCTTTAAGAGCACCCCCCTACTCCTCCCTGCTTGGGCGGATTTCCTCATCAGGGCCCAGCCCTTTAAAGCCACAGCGCCATCCTTCTAGCCGGATTTGCGGATGTGTGTCTAGCTGGAGGCACTGAGGGGCCCCGGTGCTAGCAGTAGGCAGAAGTGAGCTGTGACAGGTACACCTGGGTGTGGACCACTACCCAGGGTTCAAGAGGGACACGGAGCTGGGACAGGGAGGATCTTGAGAGAAAGCAAAGCCACTCTARGCAGCCATGATGTGCCAGGCCCTGTAGCCAGCCCTCTCTGTCCCTTCTGAGGGAGACATTATTCTCCCCCCTCACCCCCACCCCCGTACRGATAAGGAGGTGAGCTCAGAGCAGCTAGCTGGATTCCCCAGGGCCCCACAGCTAGCAAGCGCCAGAGGCAGGATCTGAACTCTGGTCAGTGAAACTCCAAAGCCTTGGTGGTCTATCTGCATCACCTGCTGGACCTGGTCCTGGCTTCTTTCCAAACTTCCTTTTCCCTGGGTTTTCCTGTGTGCAGTAGCACATGGGGAAGGAATGGGTCTCTCCTCATGCCCCCATACTTGACCTCCTTTCTCCTCCCAGGAGCTGCTTGGAGATGCTGCTATGGCTGCTGCTGCTGCTGCTGCCGCCGCTGTTCCTGCTCATCCTGCTGTTCCTGCTGCTGCTGCTGCCCCCATTGGCCATGCTAGGACAGAGGTCTCAGGAGGCTGACCTGTCCTGGCTTGCCAGCCTCCAGCACTGTGTAGCATGGAGGGTCCTGAGCTGGGCAGCCACCTGGCAGCAGCAGAGACTGGAACATAATACACTACACGTGGGCCAGAGCCAGCAGCAGGCCCTGATGTGGTGTCTGCAGAGAGCCCAGAGTCCCCTCTGTCCCCCCACAGAGAGCACAGGTGTGTTTCACAGGGTCTGGGGAGGTGAGCCAAACAGAAAGAAACCCCACAGGATAGTCATATTCCCGAACCTGAAGCCCCCTCCCCTGCCTCCAACACGCTGCCTGTGGCCTGGCCTGGAGACCTAACCAGGCCCTAGGATTGGCTTTCTTGTTCAGTATGGGTTTTCCCATCCAGGGCCTTGTATGTAGGTCCTCTCTCCAAACCTATTCCTGGGTCTCAACAATTTTTCTTGAAATTCTTGGGAAACTGTGGCTTCCTGAGGAGTTTCTGATGTCTTTGGAGGTACAGATATGAGCATCTTCCGGAATCATCTCCCTTTGACCAAAGTCAGCCAGGCTCCGGAGGAAGAAAATGGGAGGCAGCTCCTGCCTCCTACTTCAAACCAGTACCATGGGGAGGCCTCTCTGCAGGTAAACTGGAATGGCCAGAGCCCACCCCACAGAAACCCCTACTTACAGCCAAAGCCTCCCATTATGATAGGCAAAGAATGCCCAAACTGGTGGCTCCGGGTCTGGCCCTGTGGCCGGGCTGACAGCCTCTTTCCTCTCCCTCCAGGCCACTTTGCTGGGTCTGGTAGCCCTAAACAAGGCCTACCCAGAAGTGCTGGCTCCAGGAGGCACTGCCCGTGTGACCCCTACGTCCCCATGGCCCAGCCCCCTCCCCTGGCCTGGGCATATCCTGGACCAGGTGAGCCCCCCTGGAACCAAGGACCCTGGGGCCCTGCTGCTGGAAGCACTGAGGTCCCCGGGGCTGAAGGCACTGGAGGCCGGAACAGCAGTGGAACTCCTGGACGTCTTCTTGGCCTTGGAGGCTGATGGTGAAGAGCTGGCTGAGGCCATAGCTGCTGGGACCTCAGGAGTGCCTCTTCCCGGTCGGGCAGCTGAGCTACGGGAGGCTCTAGAGCAGGGACCCCGAGGATTGGCCCTTCGGCTCTGGCCAAAGCTGCAGGTGGTGGTGACTCTGGACGCAGGAGGCCAGGCTGAGGCTGTGGCTGCCCTTGGGGCCTTGTGGTGCCAAGGGCTAGCCTTCTTCTCTCCTGCTTACGCTGCTTCTGGAGGTCAGCTGGACGCAAGGGCAGTGAGGTGGGGTCGGGGCAGAGGCCACGCAGCTAGCTGCCATGTATGAGCCCCACATGCTCATCTTTTAATCCTCCCAGCACCCTGTGGAGTGGGGCTCAGCAGCTTGTCTATCTGATGGAAGCACTAAGGCTCCCCAGGCAGGAGTATTGCAAGCACCAATACATGCTCCAGCTCAGCTGCCTGCGGAGCCGCTGCACACGCTGCCTTTTCTAGTTAGGGCCTAAAGGCAGCAGCCTGAGCCCCGGGGAGACAGGAATGAGGGGTACAATGTTAGCAGCTCGGAGGATCAGGGCCTGGGCCCCAGGGTGAGGCCCCACCAGACGACAAGAGAGCTGCTCTCGCTCCCCACAGGGGCGGTGGGCCTAAACCTATGGCCAGAACAGCCCCAGGGGCTCTACGTGCTTCCCCCTGGACCCCCTTTTATTGAGCTGCTTCCAGTCGAGGAAGGAGCCCAAGAGGAGGCCCCGTCTACCCTTCTTCTGGCTGAGGCCCAAAGGGACAAGGAGTATGAGCTGGTGCTGACTGACCACATCAGGCTTGCCAGGTGACCACCTGCCCAGCTGCTGCAGCCTCAGGCTCTCTGATGCCCTCATTAGCACTCTGCTGGGGACAGGGCCTTGAGCTCACCCTCCCTCCCAATCCTACCCCATCAGGTGCCGCCTGGGTGATGTGGTACAAGTGGTTGGTGCCTATAATCAGTGTCCGATCGTCAGGTTCGTCTACAGGTAGGTGAGCCCAGGAGTGCTGAGGGGTTGTCCCTGTGCCTGGGCTCTACTGCCTCATGCTTCCTCCTCCCCAGGCTGGGCCAGGCCCTGAGTGTTAGAGGAGAAGTTACTGGAGAGAATGTGTTCTCTGAGGCCCTGGGCCAGGCGGTGGGCCAATGGCCAGGAGCCAAGCTGTTGGACCACATCTGTGTGGAGAGCAGCATTCTGGGTAAGCGTCTCCACTCGCTACTGCCTCCCATTCTTGAGTTGGCTGAACCCTCAACCCATACCTACAGTGCTAGGAGGCCTCTAAGAAGGAGATAAGACTCAGCTTCCTTTGCTATGCCTAACAAAAGTCCCTCTCCATATCTAACTCCCGTCCTTCCTGCTGTAGTTTCCACCCATTTTCTTTCCTGGTCTGTCCTCTATTTATAGTTAGGCTCTAGATTCCCCTCCATTCCCTACCCAAGAAATTCTCTTATCCCCCATGAACCTCAGAATGTGAAAGAACAGATGGAGCAGAGGGCGTTGGCTTTGGAAGCGCCCTATTCTCAGGAAGTGTGTGTGCCTGTGGGGTTTGTCCACAGATTCCTCTGAGGGCTCTGCTCCGCACTATGAGGTGTTTGTGGAGCTGAGGGGGCTAAGGAATCTGTCGGAGGAGAATCGAGACAAGGTAAAAGAGACAGGGATGGGGTCTGACTGCATGGCCCCAGGGTGCCATGGAGACAGGGCATGATGGGGAGAGGGAGGTAGGGGAGGAGAAATTCCTTTCTGGAGCTCTGGGGAGGGAGAGATGGGTCCCACGACCCTCTTGGCACACACTAAACTCACACACACATGCCAGGCGCAGTCATGCACATCTTATACACACCCTTGCGACCACACATCAGCCTCACTCAGGCCATTCTGCCCCCAGCTTGACCACTGTCTTCAGGAAGCCTCCCCTCGCTACAAGTCCCTGCGGTTCCGGGGCAGTGTGGGCCCTGCCAGAGTCCACCTGGTGGGGAAGGGGGCCTTCAGAGCCCTCCGGACAACGCTTGCTGCCTGCCCCTCGTCCTCCTTCCCTCCTGAGATGCCCCGGGTCCTTAGGCACAGGCATCTGGCCCAGTTCCTGCAGAGGAGGGTGGTGTCCTAACCTAGACTGCCTGGCTGTCTTTGGAGGTCGCCTTGCTCTTTCCTCTGGGGTCTCCCTGCATGGGGAGTTCTTGATCAGAGACCTTCACCTGCCATCAGCTTTTCAGAGCTGCTGGGCCTTAGAAAGACCTTCGCCGAGTTGGCCAGCTCTGAAGTGAAGGTTTGAAGGGTATAGCAGAGATCCCTGCCCATATCCCTCTGGGCCCCGCTAAAGGACACTTCAGTGCTTCCTGTGTCCCAGCTTGACAGTGCTCTCCGGCTATACCCTTGGGCCTGACTAGTGCACAGGGTGGGATGAAGGTAGGGGGATGGGGTCATGGCCCCAGGAGCAACAGGAGTTGATGAATAAAGACCTCAGCACCATTGTTCCTAAGTGGGACAATTTTTATCTCTTGGGGTTCACCTTCCAGGTGGTGTTCCTGTCCTTTACAGCAATAACCCATTCACTGATGTTTCTGTTATCAGTTCTTCTTCTTCCCTGTTCCCTCATTGTATTTCCTGGATTTTCTCCCAAATAAACCATTTGCACCCAGATTCTTGACTCTGTTTCTGCTTTGGGGAAACTGTATAGGGTCCCTTCATGCTGCTCCTACTACAGCCTGCTAGCTGCTTTGCAGTTGGTCACCTTTCTGCTCTGAGATCTGGGGTTCCCCCTTACTCTTTGCTCTAGACTGGATTAGGCCCCAAGAGTGTGTGACATAGGATCCTTCAGGGACTCCCACCAGGGGCTAGGACAACCTAGCAGATACAGAGCCCTCTTTTGCCCTGCCTGTTGCCACTACCCCAACCTAAAGGTAGAGGAGCTGTTCCCAACTTCCCCTACCATGCCTTAGCACCAGTCCCTTTCCTGACCCAGCACCCACAAATCATTTTCATGGTAGGCAATGGGGAGCTATAATTCAAATCACAAAGTATCACTGTAGGAGGCAACCCCAGAGTCATCTGGGTTAAGTGTCCATAGCAATGGCGAAACATCCTCTTGAGGCTGTGAGACTTACCCCAGGCCCTGCAAGGCCTCCTCAAGAAGAGCACCACTTGGGGCTGGGGATGTGGCTCAAGCAGTAGTGTACTCCTTGGCATGCATGAGGCCCGGGTTCGATCCTCAGCACCACATACAAACAAAGATGTTGTGTCTGCCGAAAACTAAAAAAATAAATAAATAAATATTAAAAATTTCCAAAAAAAAAAAAGAAGAGCACCACTGCTCTGGATCAGCCATCCAGCTTCTAATTGGGCCTCTGAATTGCTTCTCAATCCCATGATCCTAGAGGCAGGCCTTCCTCCTACCCAACCAGCCCCCACATTATCCCATGACTCCTGATAAATCCTCCCTTGGTGGCTCCCCTTCTCCCATAGATGGAATACCAATCAACTTCACTGTAAGACCCTTGACCCAGGCTCTTACTTGTCCAGCCACCTTTTTCCCCTTGCTCACGAGAAAGCCTGGACTGTGAGGACCAGCCCATCCACATCCCATGTCGGGGAAGCACTGTCACTTCCAGGTATTTGCTCACATCATCCCTTCTCCCCCAACCTACCTGAAGGAAATCTGTTTTTCATTCAAGGCCTTCAAGGACTCCTACCCCACCCAGGTGGAAGGAATTGGCCCAACTTTACTGACATCTGCAGTAGTCCTTCCTTCTATGGAATTTTCCTTATGCCCAGACTGCTATCCCACTCCTTAAAAACAGGGTCATGTCCTAGGCACACAGTTGCTTCTGTGTCCACATGGGGCCCAGCCCAGAGCAGAAGCTCAGTAACAGTGCTCTGAATGAGAGAAGCTTGGGCCTGGAGGTGGTCACACCCTTCAGCCCACGGGGGCTCACTCCCTGGAGGGGGAGGAGTGGGATAACATCCCTCCCCTCTTGGCTGCCTGGCCCAGAAGACAGCAAGGGAGGAAGAAGCTTTCTACCAGCTTCTGGCAGAAACTAGACTTGGCTTCCTTTCCTCCCACTGCCCACCATAAGTCTCCAAGGTTTTCCATTGCGGAGGCTGGTGGAAGGGGCAGAAGGGAAAGAGAGCTGGGGGGWGGGAAAGGACAGCTCAGGAACCGTTTCCATGGAGGAAGAAGGCCCTGGAGCCTGACAGATCCCAATGACACGAAGTAATGCGGGGAGAAGTCTGCTGTGACTGCACTCCCCCAACACACGGTGGATAGTGGGTCTCACCACTGCCTCTTCTCCAACCCTTAATTAGCAGCCGCCCCCTCCCCCATTGTCCCAGGCCAGCGCCCCAGCCAAGGCCTCTTTTGTGCACTCAGATTCCTGGGTGCAAGGTGGCCTAATTAGTGCCCGGAGACCACCCCATCTCCAGGGAGCAGGCAGACAGGCAAGAGGGAGACCAGTGGCACAGTGATCCAGCGCTGGCCTCTGAATGCACGCCTCAGGGGCCATTCCTTGGGCCCAGCCTGGAGACGGCCCCCCTGCCCGATGCTAATCTTAGATTCGCCTTTGTCTAGCTCCAGAGTGGACGCAAGTACTCATCCCTTGCCTGCCACCTCGAAGCACTATAAACCCCATGCCCCTGGTAGCAGGTTGCAGTTGACAGCCTCAAGATTCCTGGCTACTTGGACCACTGCACTGCAGACACCTCCTTTCTAGAAGACCCCACGGAGAGCTCCAGACACCATGAACCTTCCCTCCACAAAGGTAAAGACCCAGGGACCAGGGAGGCTAGGAAAGTGCTTTCTCAAAGCGCTGTAGGATGACAAGAAAGCTGTCAAGACCAACAGTGTCTCCACTGTTGATCTTTCCTATGGGGGCTCTGAGGCAGAGACTCTTCTTAGACTCTTAGAAGTAAATCTGCCTTAGTTGTCACTGGGTCATTTTCTGTTTCCTAAGAGCTCATGTTTATTGACCATCTACTATGTGTCAGGTGCTGGGTTTACACCTGTCATCTTGTCATCCCCCCAGCAGCCCTGAATAGTAGGGATTATCTACTATCCAGTTTACAAGTGAAGAAACCTTGTCCGAAGACCGAGGGAAGCTGGTTCAATGCCATGGTGGTCAATTTCTCCTGCAAGGGAGCAGGCAGAGGAGACAACAGCTTGGAGTCCTGCCTGTCCCCAATTTCCACACGTTGACCTTGGGGCAAAATGTGTGTGTTGGGGGAGGGGAGTGACACTAAATAGGGCCTCTGTTTTCTCCAAGTATCCAACTTCTTGTGCAGACAGAAATGCCTGTCTTCAGGTGGTAAACTTTGGAGATTCATTCTGACCAGGCCGACTCCCAAGGAAATGCTCATCATCCTGGTTTTCTCAGGATGAGCTGGCAAAGGAGCCAGTTTAGACAGCAAGGGCAAGGAAAACTAAGGGACAGTGAGGAATCAGCACAGGTCAGAAGCAGTCGCAAATCAAGCAGTGTAGGGCCTGGGTGTGAGGTGTGATTGTGGACCTGGAGAGAAGATCCTCAGCACCCTTTCTCCACCTCCCCAGGTCTCTTGGGCCGCTGTGTCTCTAGTTCTACTGCTGCTGCTGCCACCCGCGCTGCTGTCGCCTGGGGCGGTCGCGCAGCCTCTGCCCGACTGCTGTCGCCAGAAGACTTGCTCCTGCCGTCTCTACGAGCTGCTGCACGGCGCTGGCAATCACGCAGCCGGCATCCTCACGCTGGGCAAGCGACGGCCAGGGCCCCCGGGCCTCCAGGGCCGACTGCAGCGCCTCCTGCAGGCCAGCGGCAACCACGCAGCCGGCATCTTGACCATGGGCCGCCGCGCAGGCGCAGAGCCAGCGCTGCCTCCCTGTCCCGAGCGCCGCTGTCCTACCTCAGTCGCCGCAGCTACCGCTCCCAGGGGACCGTCTGGAGTCTGAGCCCTTCTTCAGTCCCTGTCCTGGTCCCATCCTTTCCCCTCTGTTCTCCAATGTCAGCCTCTAGAGAAACGGCAATAAAGATGAGTCTGTTCATGTGACTGGTCTCTGTTCCTCTGTGTCACGTCCAGCCCTCCAGGGGGCGGGAGGGTGGGGGGCTGAGATTGTGGCTTAGTGGCAGAGCGCTTGCCTGGCACTTAATAGGCACTGGTTCGATCTTCAACACCACATAAAAATAAATAAATAAAATAAAGATATTGTGTCCATCTACAACTAAAAAAAAAAAAAAAAGACAAGAGGATCTGGGAAGCAGCTCCTAGGAGAGACACCCAGGAGGGGTGGGAGAGCAAGAAGGCTGCACAGGACAACAGAATCCAGATGGAATGGCCTGGAATCCAGATGGAACTTGTGGGACTCAGTCTGCCCCAAAGGGAAGGCATATGAGCTTCAACAATGAATCTTCCAGAGTGGCTGCCGGGCGGGATAGAGTGTGAAAAGCAGTGACAGACCAAAAGGGAGGTGGATAAGTTTGCGCAGCCTGGATTGTGAAGGCCCTCACAAATCATCAGGCTTTGATCTTTATTCTGCAGTAATGGAAGTCATAAAAAGATTTTAAACAGAGGTGAGGCAAGGTTTTTCTGCAACTCTAGCCAAAGATGCCCATTTCCCCAAAATTAACATGTTTAAGTCCTAACCCCTAGCATTCAGAATGTGACAGTATTTGGAATCAGGGTTCCTTGCAGATGTAATCAGTTAAGATGAGGTCATACTAGGATCGAGTAAACTTCCAATTCACTATAAGTGGTGTTATAAAAGAGGAGAATTTGGACACAGAAATGCACACAGGAAGAATCTAAGTTAACATGTAAGTAGAGATTGGAGTGATGCATCTACAAGCTATGTAACACCAAAGATTGCCAGTAGCTAGGGGAAAGGCATGCAACAGATTCTACCTTACAGCCTTTGGAGAAAATCAACCCTGCCTTCACCTTGATCTTGGTTCAACATCTAGCCTCCAGAACGGTGAAGCAATAGATTTCTGTTGTTTAAGCCACCTGCTTTGTGGTAACTTTTTATGGCAGCCTAGGAAACTATTAGGACATTCAAAAGTAAAGACAAAAAGATGTGATACTTTTTAGCAATCTAACATCCCAGATAATGCCCAGCTTAAATCCTAAGAGGGGACTGGAGGGAGGTGTTTAAACTGCTTATCCAGGTTCCCATTTTTACTGGCTTAAGCTGCTTTGTCCCAGGAAGCAACCACACTCAGCCATAGAACTCTGCTTTCCCAATAATTTTCTGTTTAGGTAGTGAAAAAGTTTTGTGTCTGGGTCTTCTAATTTTCTCTTGTGGCTATACTGGGTCCTCTTGGAGAAAATTAAAGACTCTAATTCATGGGCTGGGGATGTAGTTCAGTGATAGAGTGCTTGCCTAGAATGTGCATAGACCCTATGTTCAATCCCTGGTATTAAAGAAAAAAGAATTTTCACCTGTGCACTCTTGAAGATTTGCAAACCGTGTCTCTGTTCTACACTTCAAAACTACCTTTGGCTGTCCCTAACTTGCCTCCCAGATTCTCTTCCACCTGAAAGGCAGCAGAGGAAAGTGGGTTAAATTAGGACTGTAAGAAGAGGGAGAACAAGAGGCACTCCCCCTTCAAGACACTCATTTGTGCCAATGATAGACATTAACCTTCAAAATACTCACAATAATTGCACAAGGTAAGAATTATGAGGGCTGGGGATGTGGCTCAACGGTAGCGCGCTCTCCTGGCATGCGTGCGGCCCCGGTTCGATCCTCAGCACCACATACAAACAAAGAYGTTGTGTCTGCTGAAAACTAAAAAAAATAAATAAATATTAAAATTCTCTCTCTCTCTCTCTCTCTCTCTCTCTCTCTCTTTCTCTGTCTGTCTTTAAAATAAATAAATAAATAAAGCATTGCCAAAGGCAAAAAAAAAAAAAAAAAAAGAATTATGAGCTCCATTTTACAGATGAGGAAAGCAAGTCTCTGAAAGGCTGTCAGACAAATAGTGTCCAGATCTAGGATTCTATGTGGCAGACTCCAAAACTCTTTTCATTTCAGCCCGCTGTGCTCAGAAGTAGAGCTTGCCAGGGTGCCCTACGTAAAATGAGGCAGAAGGCAAGAGCTACCTGCGTTTTCTAGGAGTTGGGGTTCCAAATCATCCCCTGTGTATTCCCATCCACAAAACTAGCCTCTTAACCCTTGGTATCTGACACTGGAGCAYAGGGGGAATGCTGTGAAATATCCCAACTCCGGCAGGCGGCACTGTGTATCAGATACCAATTCCAGCGTGGGCAGCACGCGGGGGAAACCCATGGGGTGGAGCTACAGGAACAGCCAGGGAACCACGCGTGGGGGCGTGGCCACCATGGCAGGAGGGCGTGTCTGCTAACCAAGCCCTGCCCCACCACTTCTGGCCTCCCCTCCCGGTGGGCGTGTCTCCAATTCTTTCCCCGAGAGACACGCGTGGGCCGCTCCCCTCTGGGAGGAGGGGTGCTGGTATCGCTGGCCGCCCCTCCCCGTGTGGGGCACGTGGCGGGAGCGGGCCGAGCCCAGGGGAAAGAACCTGACCCGCAGGGAGGTGGGGGGACCGGGGCGGCGCCGAGCGAAGCTCAGAGCTACTGGGTTCTGAGCAGAGAGGCGGCTGCTGCGGCAGCGGCGGCRAGAGGGAGGGAAGGAGGCAGGCGGGCGCATGGGGTGCCCAGGTCCCGCCGGCAGCGCGCCCCCTCCGGCCCGGCCGCGCTGATCGCTCAGCGCCTCGAACCCTCGCCCCGAGGCCATGCCGGTCATGAAGGGGTTGCTGGCCCCGCAAAACACCTTCCTGGACACCATCGCCACCCGCTTTGACGGCACGCGTGAGTGGGGCGGAGGCTGCGGCTGGAGGTTCAAGCTGGGGGCCAAGTATCCTTAGGGCCAGGTCAGGTCTCCTGGATGTGGTGAAGTCGAGGAGAGAGAATGGAGTTAAGGGTCGAGGGACTCCTGAAGCCTGGTGAAGAAAYAGGGAGCGGAGCGCCCTTTGAGGGGAGGAGGGGAAAGGGCCAAGAGCTCAGGGAAGATGGGAGGGTCAAGGTTAGGAGGTGTGACTGGAGACACCAGAGGCTCTATAGGCGGCAAAACTGAGAGGAGATTTGAGAGTCACCTACTTCCGGGCAGAGCTGGGCTTGGGGGCGTGTATGGGGGGTTATCTGAGACCTGGAGGTGAGACGAAGTGGCCAGGCGTTCTAGGGACGACTCCTAGACGATTCCAGCTCCCTTTTACCCCACAAAAAGGTGAAAAGATCAGACTTCGGCAGGACCTAGCATGGATTAAGGTCACACGCCTCCAAATCGTGGGGCGTCTGTGTTTAAGATGGATGAGGCGGGAGGGGGCGGTCCTTGCGATGGAGGGAACTCCCAGCTCGCCCACCGGAGCTCGGGTCCCAGGTTCAGCACCTTGGACAGCCACACAACTCCTTCCCGGCCTCTTCTCCCGCCATTCCCTCTCTCTACTCTGAAGCCCAGAGATCTCCCCCTGCCCGCCTAGGGAACCCTGACCTGGATCAGGAGGGTGGCGGAAAGATACCCGAGGGCGGAAATCGAGCCGCCAGTGCCCTACCCGCCTCCCCCCACACACACACCTTCCTTGTTTCCATAGCGCCCATCACCGAGGCAACGGGCCCTGGGATGGAAGAAGGAGGCTGCGCCCAGGGCCCAGTGCCTCCCAGGCACCCTTAGTGTCCCCGTCAGCCATCCCACCCCCTGAAAGTCACCTTTCCTAAGGCCCCAGAACTAGCTGTGTCTAAGGGCCCATCCCTCAAATGATTGTGTCCCTGGATGACCCACAACCTCCCACCCATTGGAGCAGGAGGGGGCCAGCTCAGGTTCTGCTTCTGGAGGTTGCTGAAATGCCACTCTCAATGCCCTCTCCAGTCTGACTTTGAGCAGTGGGGGTAGATCCCCTGAAAATAGCTAAAGGAATGCTTAAAAGTGGGCCTTTCCTGGAAGACAGGAATGAGGACACTTCTCATCACTGTCTTACCCCCACACGAAGGAAATTTATGAGTTTGGAAAATTTCTCCTTTTTGGTTTCCTAACAATAAAAGGGTGTGATGTCATCAGAATCTTTGCCCTGCTCCCTATAATAGCATAACAGGATGGTGGCTATGGATGTCCTTCCAAAGCTGAGTGAATGTGGGGGAATCATTTTACCTTCTCACAGTAGCACTTACTAAATGCCAGGGCATGTCCTCCCCAAACGAATTGATGTAACTCTCACAACAACCATGCAAAGAAGGTACATTGTGTCCCCCTTTACAGATAAGGAAACTGAGACACAGGAAATGTAATTACCCCAGGTCACAGTCAGTATGTGGCAGGGAAGTGTACTGTAGTCCATGCTCTTACCCACCATGCTAAGTTGCCTTCTACAGTCACAGCTCACCAGCTTGAAGGCAGGGGGATGGACCACATGGCCTCTTGGGATTTCTTCTCCAACCTTCTAGTATCCCTGCCTCATTTCTAGGCTTGAGTTTTTATCCCTTTGCTCTGTCTCTTGTCCTTATTTCAGAATATCCCAAAGGAGGATCAGGAACCACATGGAAGCCCAGGAAGCTGGTTCAGTGACCCCTAGCTACAACTTGGGGCAAATGCTGCCCCATTGGAGGTTAGTTCTTCTCCTGGCCTGGACTTACCTTGACCTTTACCTTCCACAGACAGCAACTTCCTCCTGGCCAACGCACAGGGCCCACGAGGCTTTCCCATCGTCTACTGTTCCGACGGCTTCTGTGAACTCACAGGCTACGGCCGTACTGAGGTCATGCAGAAAACCTGCAGTTGCCGGTTCCTCTATGGCCCAGAGACCAGTGAGCCAGCCCTGCAGCGGTTGCACAAAGCCCTGGAGGGCCACCAGGAGCACCGAGCTGAAATCTGCTTTTACAGAAAGGATGGTGAGAGGCCCAACCAGCCCTGTAGCCCTGCCCAGACCTCACCCGGGGTGCAAT